ATTATAAAACATGTGGCATAGGGATGATGAGAAAGGAAAAAGTTAATTCTTAAATCAACTGCCAACCTGCCCCATCTCAATGTAATCTATACCAACATCATATATTGTTAAAAAACATATTTAAAAGAAGGCTATAAGTACAAAATGCCAAATATAATCATAATTAATTTTACATATTAAATATTAAATTTCACATATTAAATTTCACAAAACGAGACATATCAGTTCAAATATATCAAGAGTAAATTATATTTGAGAAGAAAAATGTTAACTTCGGTAGCTATTCCCATCTTGCCAAGAATGGCACCATCATCTAAAATGTACAATAATGAAAAGCCCATCTATATAATATTCTTTGATTATTCTGAATGATAAATTAATATGGTTTAACTAAAACAGCTAAACACTTCTTTTGTTATTTATGTGAGGGGAAAAAAAACTAGTTTGTCATATTTTACTCTGAAGGTCTCACAAACGATTATGTTCAGTGACTGCTGGTTGTAAGGAAGGGAACGAAACAGCACACTGAGGTTAAATCCACTGTGAAAGGTTAATTTACTAAAGCAACTCAATTTCATTTCCAACCCAACCATCATCCTAATGATGCATTTTACCCAAGGAAAACCTTGTATTTACTAGTTGTGAAGACATTTCTAGTATGATAATACAAAAGCATATTAAAGTGTAAAAATTTAGAATGTAAAGTACAATACAAAAGAAAATCTTCCACCTTACAGCATCTCAAGAATGTCTTTCCCATATTTTCTTTAAAAAGATGAATGATTTTAAAGCACTGTGGCAGTATAATCAGAGTATCAAGGTGCATAACAAGGAAGTCTGAAACACTATATTAGCACTGAAATCTCCAATCCGTTTTTATGAAATGTACAGAAGTTACACCAGCAGACTGCACCAGACAAGTCTGAAGTTAACATAACTACTGAACACCTTTCTTCTTAAAAAAAAAAAAAAAAAAAGTAAACACCAAAAAGGAAACCTGTTGAAGTGAAATGTACACTATGAGAAACAGTGACTTGATCAGCCCTTGTCCTGTTGATGAACAACTTAATACTTTATCCCTTTTAGTTCTTTTTTTTTGTTCTACTTAATATTATTGGTTGAACTCTTTATTGAACATAATAATTGAACACAATTATTCTTAGGTGTTTAAATTTAACTGAAAAGTAATCCCCATTAAATATAAGAGTGGGAATAAGAGAGGAAGGAGATGTACAATTTGGGACATGCTCAATCGGACTTGACCCAAACGGTAGAGTTAGAAATGTGCCAGGGGATTCCAATTCAATCCCATCAAGGTGGCATGTACCAATGCCATTACACTAGTCAAAGGGATCAGTTTCAGTTCACAACTGATCATAACGATAGGATTAAGAGTCAAAGAGATCACATAAACAAGACTAGTGTCTGCTAATACTAACTAACAGAATTAAAAAGGGAAAGAACAATCCAACATGGGAAGCAGGATACACAGTAGACTCATAGAATGGCAGATGTCCTAAACAGCACTCTGGCCTCAGAATCAGCCCTTAAGGCGTTCGGATCTAGCTGAAGAGCCCATGAGAGTATTTTAGGCATGGAAAGCCAAGACACTCTGGCAAAACAAACAAACAAACAAACAAACAACTAAATGAAAGATCTCCGTGAGTGAGATCCCAGTGGAAAGAACGGGCCATCAAAGGAGGTACCTTTCTCTGAAGGGAGGAGAGAACTTCCACTTTGACTATGACCTTGTCTAAATATGATCAGAGTTAGCAAACTCAAAAGGCCTCCATAGCCTTGGCAACTGATGATAAGAGCCTAGGGTGATTACTGATGCCATAAACAAGAGTGTCAATTGTTAAGTCAACAACAGGAGTCACTGTGCACTTACTCCCCATGTAGGATCTCTGTCCTTAATGTGTTGTACAATGTAAATTAATGCTATAACTAGTACTCAAACAGTACTTTACACTTTGTGTTTCTGTGTGGGTGCAAACTATTGAAATCTTTACTTAATATATACTAAATTGATCTTCTGTATATAAAGATAATTGAAAATGAATCTTGATGTGAATGGAATGGGAGATGGAGTGGGAGATGGGAGGGTTGCAGGTGGGAGGGAAGTTATGGGGGGGAAAAGCCACTGTAATCCAAAAGCTGTACTTTGGAAATTTATATTTATTAAATAAAAGTTAAAAAATAAAAAAATTTTAAAAAAGTAAAAATAAGTTCTCTCTCTCTGTGTCTCTCCCTCTTCTCTCCAACTCTTTCAAATAAATAGACTAAATCTTTTTTTAAAAAAGAAGCAAAAGTTCACTTATAGCAGAGCTCCAAAAATGCTTATTTTTAATATATAAAATTTCAGCTGAGTCCGGGGAAGGGTAAAACAAACTACTGAACTACTGAAAATGTACAAGTGTGCAGTCACAATCTGTTCTGTGAAATCAGCTTTGTCAACAGTAACTGTTATTTCACTTACTTTACAGATTTAAACAAAAGAATGTGAACATACATCTATATTCTGGTGAATGAATTATCTTCTTGCAATTTATAAATTTCAAGTAAAGACAGGGTAATAAGAAAATTCAAAGTTAAAACATCTTTGCTTTCAATACAGTCACATATTTTTACTTTGTAATATAATGTAGCTGTCACATACAGTGGCTCAGGGAGGAATACGTCAAATTTCAATAGGCAAGGAAGGCCAAAGGAGGGTTTATACAATATTCAATAAGCAATATTAGCTTGTTAGGGTGCAACAAAATAAAAAAGTACTAGCCTAGAAACACAGAAAAAGAATTTATTATTCTTTAATTCCAAAAGTAACAGAATAGAAAATAAGCTACAAGCCGGTCCTATAATTTCTAAACTATAGGCCAATTAAAACATTTGAGAAACAGAAACAATCTACATGTTTTTATGCCAGGTAAATATAGCTGAAAGTTGCTTAGAAATAAAACTCCTAATGATGAGAAACCTCCTACCACGACATTATGAAGATGGGCTGTATGTAGGACAGGGCACCAAGCCACTTCCCACAGAGATGTGGCTCACTGCTCAGCTGCAGGTTGCAACTCATCAGCGATACAGAATTTCACATCAATACCAGGCCATTCAGCCAAAGAAGCACAGGAATGTCTTTAAACCATCTGTTTATATTCATCAGTCTGTAAAAATCACAGTATACAGCTCTGGAAATGCATAGCGTGCCCAAAAATAAGTGTATATTATCTCAGCATAAGCTTTTTAAAAGGCCTAAGCAGTCAGCCCTCTACTGAGGGAAGCAAACTCTGTATTTTGGCTAAAGTGAAGATATGTGGAAATTATAACTGCCATTGCCTATAACAAATAAAAACAAATTTAAAAAGCTATAGAAAGTGTTCTGGCAGCAAGATTGTGTCTACAATAATAACATCTCCAAGCAAAAATCAAGTCAGAGCTACAGTACAATATGTGCTTTGTTTCTACAAAAATGCAGCGTTACTCTCAGAGAGTTCTAAATGACTAGATTTGAAAGTAAGCAGCGAATTTATTTTCACCAGAGTTTATTGCTAATTCAGCCTATGTAGATTATAGACAAAGCTAAATATGACTTAGCTGTTCCCACTTCATATGAATCAAAGTCCTTTCTTTTTTAACAGTGATTTATTGTGATTCTTAAGGTAAACAATCAAAACAAACTCTAAAATTGTTAACTTGAAATTACGCATTTAAAATTTCAGGTGACACAGCCAATAACTGGTAACAGCTTCTTTAATTTCATATTATTAGTCCAATTAAAAACACTAACAACTATCTGGCAATAGATTTGAAAGAATCAGAAGAGCTCTGTGAAGGGGAGAAAAAGAAACCAAACATGCAAAACACCTCCAAAGAACATGTGATCTTCTTTCTTATTTTATAATCTAAACTTGTAAATTTTTTTTATAAATACATGATCACTCTACACAATACAGATCTTCTAAGCATTTCTAAAGGAAATTACAGTTTTTGGTCTTAAGGAATAAGACTAAGATGGAAAGGGTGGTGAAAACAGTGAAATCTGAGGAGGCAACATACTCTTTCTAACACACAAGCAAGCTGCAGTTCATCCAGTCAGGGTAGCAGTTACAGTTCAGTACATAATCTTCAAGGCAACTAAGAAACCAGGACATATGTACTTCCTCTCCCTGGGGTTAACAATTCTTTTCATTGCTCCATAAAGGAGTGTTGGTTTTTTGTGATTTTTTTTTCCAAAAAGAAACAACGAATAAATAGGGGGGAGCAAGGTTTCCATCCCCAAATTCACATACACAAATTAAGTTAAACTATAAGCTAGTTGTAGACTACCAAGTGAAACAGAATTTCAGATACCATCTGAGGCAGGTGCTACTCTACCTAGACAGTTCAGAACATGACCCAGTAAAACAAATACACATTATTATGCCTTAAACAACTAGAAAGCATTTCCTTATCAGTCACATATCAAGTTTAATGAACTCCTAAGCTTCTAGGATGTGTACCTTAATGGTGTACCTGAATCATAACTAACAAAAGAATGACAAATTCAAAATTGCTATGAAAGTAAAAATCATCCTTAGAAAAAAATCTTCATGTAAAAAGAGAAAGGAACTGAGTGTGAAGTATTATCAACCAAATGTCTGAAGACAGAATTTTTGTTTTGTGGAAGACAGTGTGAGGAGAGCAATGCACCCAATTAGGATCAACTGGAAGACTGAACAGAGTGTGAAAAATGCTTAAAGGAAATAAAGGAGGTGGGGGGAATGAGGAAATGGAGGAGTCAGGCAGCAACAGAGCTGCGGAGAGACTGAAGATGAGAGAGAGGGAGGCGTGTGCACGTGATTCTTTTATTCTGACCTTGTGTTCCTAGATTATTTACTATGTCAGTGGCACACAGGCCACACAGGCCACACAGGCAGGCAACAAGGAGCCGTCTGATGGGCAGAGATGAAGGATTTGGTGCTAATGAATTGGTTGGTTGGTTGGTTTTTGATTCATACCTGAAAGCCTTGAATCCTTGCTAAATATTCCAGTTGTTTTGAAGGTTGTACTGGAGAACAAGGGGGAGTAGGAGAACTTCCTTTTAAACCTATGGCTTCAGCTGTAGGAGATGTTCCATTCATGAGGAGCTCCCTGGCAATTGTAGCTGAGCTATTCGATGTGGGAGATATACTGAAGAAAGAGCTGGAAGGCTGGTTCATATCTTTGGGTGACAAATAGCCTAGAGTGGTGCCAGAGATTACTTTGTGGCGGCTGGCTTCCATCTCTTGATAAACATCAGGAGACAAATGAAGAATTCCTTTTGGAGCTATAAATAAAATGAAGTAACATTGTTATTACACTTAAAATAATGAAAATAGAGACATGCTACAGCATTATTACCCCAATGGCTTCACTCGGCATAGTAACAAAGAAGCGAGAGCACTGCCAATCAAGCATCTTCCTCCGAACTGCAGAGGCAACTGCAGCTTCACTTAAGAGGCAAAGGACCTATGCTCCGATATTCCTAAAACGAGATGTTTAAAACCCCATGGAAGTAGTTTCACTGGAACTTGAGTTTGGTAGGGAGACTAAGGAAGGGCAAGGGAAACTGATTCGTGGAAAGTGGGGACAAAACCTGGAAATGTGAGGTGTCTTCCCCATAGTTTCATATTTTATATCTCATACAAGGCATATGAAACTCCAGGAAAGCGGCCAACTGGGGCACAGAAGGCAAAATGAAAGCTGGGTCAGTCCAAACTCCTTGGGAGACACAAACCTAAATATTCAGTGGCCTCCTGGGTCCTCTCTTCTGCACAAGAACACCCCACAGAAAACCCTAAGTCACAAAGGTGTCAGAAAGTAATGAGGCATCCTCTTCCCAAAATTAATGCTGTCTCTATCTTGTTTAGTTTACTAATACCACCACCATCTCTCTGCCCGCTGTCCAGCCTAGACTTCTGGCAACCACCTCTGAATCACCCACAGCCAACTCGTTACTGTGCCTATTCAAACAATCCTATAATTTGCCACTTCATCTTTGAATGAGTTAGTTTAAGCAAGGCCATGGCTATGGTCTGAAAGTAACAGCAGTAAGCCTGGGGCTGTGTCATCAGTTGGTAGGGTTTGAAACCTATGAGAGAAGCACTTTCCTTTGACAAACATTTGTCTCAGAGAAGTTTTAAACCATATTTCAAACTGCCTGTTTTTAGTAACTCAAATTACATATTTCTGGGGGTGGGCATTTGGCCTGACAGTTAAGAGGCCTGGTAAAAGTCACCCACATTCCCTGTCTGATGCCTGGGTTTGGTACCTGCCTCTGCTCAAACTCTAGGAGGCAGCAGTGACGGTTCAGGTGACTGAGTCCCAGCCACAAACATAAGATGCTTGCAGCGAGTTACCAGCCTCTTGTTTCTACCCTAGCTGGAGGCCACTGCAGGCATTTCGGTGGGGAGTGAAATCATGTGTACCTTTTAAAATTGTTCATATCACTGCCTGCACACAGTGCTCAGGGACAGAACTCAATTCGTTTGCTCTTGCCCCTCCCTCTCATGTCATTAACCTTCTGATTCAAGCTTTCAACATTTCTCACCTAAGCAAACTGTAACAACTGCTAAAGGTTTTATGGCTGCTACTCTCCCCAGGGTCCACTGCCCAAAACCTGCTCTATAATATTCCATGACAAATATATCTGGAAAATAATACAAATTGTATCACACACATCTCTTTCTGGGAATGAAACATGCATATTAGCATAGTAAACAATCTGAGAAACCCAGAATAACAGAAATCTATTCAACTTGACTTAACTAAGAGTTTCCCAAGTTTATTATATAACCAAGCTTTTTTACATAACCTTAAAAACTGTTAGCACTGTGAAATACTGGGCTAGCCCATTCTCTGCATAATTTCCAATTAGGGTTTGTTGATCCTTTCTTCTGCTTGATTTATTGAACTCTTCTGGTGAATTCTGCATCTCAGCTATTACATTCTTCAGCTCCATGATTTCTACTTTTTAACATTTTCTCGCTTTGTTGGAATCCTCACTTTGTTCATGCATTGTTCACCTGACCTCAGTGAACATCTTTATGAGGATTATTTTTATTTCTCTGTTAGGCAAATCGTATGTCTCCACTTCATTAGAGTCAATTTCTGAAAATTTCTCTTATTTCTTTGTTTGTAAAATATTTCCCTGTTTATTTGTTTCATATTCCTTGATTCTCTGTGCTGTCTAATGTGATTCTTTTTTTTTTGGACAGGCAGAGTGGATAGTGAGAGAAACAGAGAGAAAGGTCTTCCTTTTTGCCGTTGGTTCACCCTCCAATGGCCGCCGCGGCCAGTGCACTGCGGCACCGCGCTGATCCGAAGGCAGGAGCCAGGTGCTTCTCCTGGTCTCCCATGGGGTGTAGGGCCCAAGCACTTGGGCCATCCTCCACTGACTTCCCAGGCCACAGTAGAGAGCTGGCCTGGAAGAGGAGTAACCAGGACAGAATCCAGCACCTCGACTGGGACTAGAACCCGGTGTGCCGGCGCCGCTAGGTGGAGGATTAGCCTATTGAGCTGCGGCGCCGGCCCTAATGTGATTCTAATGTGACTGCACATTAGACAAAACAGCCACCTGTCCTACTCCTCATGGACGGGTCTCTTGCAGAAGAATACTCTCAGCTACCGTCCTAGCTAGAGACTCTGTGGGCCTCGCAAATGTCTGCTAGTCTAACCTACTTTTGTTCTTGGCAGCCCCAGGCATCTAGAGTATGCCTGCACCATCAGCATCCTGAGCAAGACAGAAGCCACGTCTTCAGGAAACTTCCAAATAAATTGGGTTGTTGGGCGCACAGTGCACTTTTTGCTTCCCAAGAAAGAAATAGAGAGGTGGCATTTTTCAACTGTTAGCTCTGTGCTGGGCTGGGGGCAGTGGCTATGGAGACCACTAGTCTTCTCTGTTTCCATTGGTCCCAGGTGGGCTGAAGTATGCCACCTCCCATTAGCATTCTTGAGGCAGGCCAACCAGAAGCTGGTCTTCTGAGTAGCCCCTAGAAAAGCTGGGGTTCTGGACTGTTGGTATACCACTTCCCTTTCTCAGGGAGAAGGTGAGAACTGGGGGAATTTGTCCTAATTGTGTATCACTGTGCCTGGGATAGGGATTAAAGCAAAAGGATACCTCAAATTTCCCTACGAGTTTCAGTGTGGCTGGTTTTAAGCTTAACAGGGGGATGCAGGAGCCTTTTACCTAGGTTTTGGATTTCTCATAAACTGAACATGCCCATGAATTACTGTTGAATTGGTATAATCGTAAGGGGAAGGAGGGTGCAGGGATTCTTATTAGAACATTCTCTCACTTAAAAAGTTTTTGGTTCCCCATCACTTACACTGTAGAATAGAAACTTCTCAGAATGACACAGGAAGCCCTTAGAATTCTGCCTCCTACTTCTCTCTCTAACCTCATCTATTAAATTGTCATTGACAGACTCCCTGCTCCAGTCACACAGATGCATTCACACTTCTCCCAACATTCCAGGTTATTCGATCCCAACACACTTTTACTTCTATCACGCTAGTACAGACGTGCTTAAATGCACATGCATGGATGTGTGCACACCCCTCATACACACACACACAATTCCACACCATTCTTAGTTAAGCTTTGCTACCGCTAGAGCATGACGAGGGAGTCGGGCAACTGCAGAAGGTAGAAAGGAAGGGACCAAGTTCCAGGGAACTTTATTCTGATGGCATTAAAACATGTAAGAGTTTTGTGTGTGCGTTTTAAAATAGCTTAAAATAATACATCAATTTCTTTTATTGATTTTCTTTATGGATTTGCATAGGTTTTCAAATTCTCTATATTAGCAAGTATTGGTCTTTTATAATCAGGAAAAAATTTCAATACATTTTTGAAGGGAAATATAAGCACTGAAAAATACACAAGATAAACCTCATGAGACAGAAAGAACTACTTTTAACATTTTGCTTTAAAGATGCTTTTTAGCTCTTTTTATTCTATTCACTTTCTACTTGTTAACCTGAAAAAACTAGTTAAACACAGGAGTATCAATGATCATACTGTTTACAAAACAATATACTTCTACCAGTATTTTAAAAGGCGTAGTATTTCATTATAGGACCTATTTCTTGAAACAATTCTGTGGTTTTTTTTTTTTAAAGATTTATTTATTTATTTGAGAGGTACAGTTACAGACAGTAAGAGGAAGAGACAGAGAGAAAGGTCTTCCTTCCACTGGTTCACTCCCCAAGTGGCCGCAATGGCAGGAGCTACGCTGATCCAAAGCTAGGAGCCAGGAGCTTCTTCCCAGTCTCCCACATGGGTGCAGGGGGCCCAGGCACTTGGACCATGTTCCACTGCTTTCCCAGGCCACAGCAGAGTGCTGGATTGGAAGAGGAGCAGCCAGGACTAGAATTGGCGCCCACATGGGATGCTGGCGTGGCAGGTGTAGGCTTAACCTGCTGCACCATGGCGCCGGCCCACAATTCTGTGTTGATGGACATCTAATTTCAATTTTTCCCAAGTATAAACACAGTGATAAACATTCTTATAATTAAATTGTTGATCACATGAAAATTTATTTCTTAAACAGAATTCTTAATTTAAACAATAAGCATATTAGGTTTTTATATTAACAAGTTACTCTCCAAAAAAACACTGTACTAATGTCACACACCCACAGGAACACAAAAGTGCCTCATTACATATTTTGGTATTAGATGTCATTACTGAAAACTAATGGCCACTTATTAACAGACAAAGAGGAGGTCAGCAACTGCCTGGGCATGGGGCTAGTGGAAGTGACAGACTGCAAAAGGACACAAGGAAAGTTTTAGGAAGATGGAAATGTGTATTTCGCTGGCATAAAAGCATGTCAAAACTGATCAAATTGTATGTTTTATGTACTTCAATTATACCTCAAAACTGTAAAAAATCTGCCCATGTAAGTGGAATGTCATTATTACTAATTTCTTTCACTAGGTACATAAAATGTCATATAATTTTTACTTAAAGAATAACTTAAATGTAATTCTAAATTCTATATTTAATTTAAGAAATCAAGAAACTTAACAGCATTACTTCACTACTGTTATTATACAGCAGCAATGGGCTTGCCAACAGCAATATTATGAAGCAACAAAAACGCTCTCTCAACACTCAGGAGAGGCATTACATCACTGGGTAAGAACTCATACAGAGTTCAGGCTCCCCTACTTTACAGTAAAGCCTGGTCAAAAAAAATCCTTTTTTTTCCCTACAAATAAAGAAGATTCTTTCTCCAGAACTCAACTAATAGAACAGTCATGGAAATAGTACAAAAACAC